GCAGCAGAAGAGGACTGTGGTTCTGGGCGTTTTTGTGGTAGCTTTATTTTGTCCTTTGATGAAATTCAGTTAGGTTAATTTAAGAAAATAAGACCCATTCCCCTCCATGCCACAATTATTCCTGAGTGACAATTAATTTTTCGACTGTGCCTAGTTTAACTCATCCCAGTATTATTACCTTTACTAATTGTGCTACACAACGTATCTTTTAAGAACAAAGTTAAAGAGAACCGTATACAATTAAGAATAGCATTTCCGACCCCCAGAATTCCTGTGAATGATAGGGCTAGGACCTTCTAACGTAGCGAATGCTCCAGGGAAGTCAATGTTTAGTAATAGGGCTTTGCCCCCATTCCAAAGGATGGCACTCATGCCTCCCACACACCAAGGCCCCTAGACCTATGCAAGGGTGTGGGTAGAGTCCTGACTCAGAGGGAAGAGGTAGCTTGTCTGCTGTGAGTCACCCACCCTACTTCCTGCTGCTGGATGTGAGTTTTCACTGATGTAGAACCATTCAAGAGCTCGTACCCATCAGATTCTTGAGACCTGAGAAGGTCAAGACCCAGGCACGCTTTCACTAAGTTTATATGAAAAAAAGATCGAGTGTGGGAGGTTGGGGGGTTTGGGGGAGAAGAAGCATGTCACATGAACTAGATTTTAAGAGCAATTTTGCTTAGCCTGGGCAAGAGTCTACACTATCACTAGTAGTTTTCTTTTTCATATTGTACAGGCTTTCTCTGTAGAGGTATAAATACACATACACATTTAGGTATATATGATACATACATATGATACTTTTATTTATTAACTATCCCTGGAAGGCAGCATGGTACAGTATATAGTGCAGGTAAAACCTGTGTTACCTGGGGCAAGTCACATAATCTCCCCAAGCCTCAGTTTCCTCATCTATATAATGGGTTGTAGGGTTGGACTCCATGACCTTTGAAGTCCCTTCCTGCTCTCAGTCTATGATTCTGTGACCCTATCAGACAGGTCTTTCTTATCCCCGTGGAGGAGCAGCTGGACCAGTGTGTTGAATCAGTCTGTAGACACCATTAGGGGAGAAAAATCACAGTACAAGCTATTTCAAGCAAGGATTGAAAGTTCTACCAGGATGTAAATAGTTCAATTGTAGAATGGTTGGTCTGTTCCCATAATCCAGAGGAATTGAACTATTCAGGAAATTCATAGGTAAAGCATTTATGCCACCCTTAATTGGTTGAATTTTAGTTTAAGACACTGTGGTGCCACGTAATGTAATATAACTGGTTCAGTTCCGTGTCTATTAGGCATCTACTTGGAGAGGTAATGGAAGATGAGCTGGATTTGAGCTATAGGAGACCTAGATTTGAATCCCAGATCAACTACTTAGTCACTATGTGACCTCAGAAATTCATTTCACCTCTCTAGGACTCAGTTTTCTCATCTGTAAAATGATGAAGTTAAACCAGATGATTTCCAATGTTTCGGCCAGCTCCAACGACTGTGATCTCACATGTCCATGCTAAGTATTAGGGGAGATAAAAAGATAAATTAAAAAAATTCTATCCTCGTATCATCATTCCCTAATAACTACGGCCAAGTAAGTTGAAAGATGGCAACCTTAATGCAGCTGATGAGAGGAGCCTTTGACATGACATTGATATTTAAAATTGGATTCAAAAATGAAATCTTTGCTGCAATATTAATCTAGCAATTCAGCGGCAGGTCTCACGGAAATCTTCCTGATCACTGGACTGGCTCCAAGGGAGGGCCGCAGGTAAGAAAAGCCCAGTTCTCAGGCTGGCACACCCCGAATTGAACGTTCTTTAATTAGCAAAGACAAATATTCCACCTGTAGCCTGAATGAACTGAAACCAAGTTTCTGACAGTGGAAAAATTAACAATGGAAAGGCTATTATCTGGTTTCTGTAAAGTATAAAGAGTTTAGATACTCTGTGTGTGTGTGTGTGTGTGTGTGTGTGTGTGAGACTTGTTATTTCTTGTGGGAAGACTTGGTAATATACCCTTTTAAAGTAATCATAATTTGTTGGGAAGGGTGAATGAGAATAGACACCAATGTAGCTAAAAGCATTCAATTTAAATACATGTGACCATATGAGCTAATAGAGATGGCACAATCCCATAGGAGTATTATATTGGGAAATTGACCAAAAGTTGAAATAGATGAGAATTCAAATTGTCCTTTGCAATGAGCAATGTGGATCAGAGTCAGTTTAGTCTATTTGCATGACAATAAACAATAAAGATCATGTGTCCATATTTTATCTTCAAAGAAAGTACTAAGTATCAAAATATTGGCCTACTCAAAGGTGAAATCCAGATAGACAACCTTAATCTTTTTAAAAACCATTAGCTTTATTTTTTTGTTTGGTGAAGACAGATTTAAGATATACTTCTGTTTCCTAGCCCTCCAATTAAACGGTATTTTCAAACTTCGAAGATTTAATTATTGGCCATTTACAAGCTGTGCTTTCTTTTGGACAAAGCATTTCAGCTCTCTGGACAGCAGTTTCTTCACTTACAAAAATGAAAATTTTGGCATAGATGGCTTATATGGTTCCTGCCACCTTTGAAATCATAGGAGTGCAAGAAATGCATGGGACTGTAGCCAATAAAACCGTGTTCTATTGGTCCTAACACTGTTTGCGTTCAGGAGATTGGACATGCTACATATAGTTTTAGTGAGTGAAAAACAAAGCATTCAGCTTAACAAGTCTATCCACCTGGCATTTCCAGGAGAGAGAATATCCATCCACCAGTCATAGGCATGACTTTTAAAATGCCAAATAGAATACTAGGTGGGCAGTTGTGGGGTTGTTTCCTCTTGAATGAGACCACACTAATTTTGCTATTTGACAGTAGAGGGCACTCTCAGCACACCCTGCCCACAAATAAATATGTATATACATATATACATACATTTATTCGTGCATGCATACATACATACATACGTACACAAATAGACAGCTAAGTAAATAAATAAGTAAATGAATCATTAAATAAACATAACTAGCTAAAATCCTTGAGAAGGAAATCCCAGTTATAACTTTAATTTGTTTGTTTTTTAATTTTAAACTTCACATACACCAAATAAAGTGAGTACTTCCATATACATATTGAGGAATAGAAGGAAAGGTTTGCATACAAAGCTGAGAATCTCTGTGGTGTAGACCTGGCTTTCTGATCTGTCTTGCTAGTTTGTAATTATCTCTAGCCCCTCTCCCTCTAGTTATAACACCTGGGATCATGTCACCTGACCCTGCTCTGGTTTAGTTGATAGGATTTAAACTCATAAGGGGCCTTGGTGATCTTAGGATTCAAATCTCTCACTTTCCAAATGAGGAGACTGAAGCCTTAGACATTTAAATGACTGACACGCATATAGTAAAATTATGATTTTTACACAATTTACTGACTCCAAATATGGTAGGAGAAGAAAATACCTTGTTTTATTTTCGCCCTTTTCTAAACTCTGTGCCCTTTACCTAACAACTATTTCTGTGGAGTGGAACTAGTCACAGAGGTTAACATCTGGGTCTCCAACTTAACAAAAATGGTTCTATTCTGTTCCCCCCCCCTTAAGTAAGTACGTAACAAGCTGAATGAGCACCCTCTCTTTTCCTGTAACTCCTTACATTTTGGCACCTTCTTGAGTGGTTTTATATATCTGATTGGAAGACCGCAGGATTAAACAATGCCTTGTGGAAACCATTGTTCAGGGCACTATAACTACTTCTGTTTCTCTGATGGAGACTCCAGTAAAGGAAGTTTAATGGCCTTCTCAGACTTCCAGATAGTTAGGACAGAGTATCAGAATGCTTAAGTCTGATCTATCTAAGGTATCTATTTGGGCATTTCCTATGTGCAATAATCGGGGTATTGAATTTCACTTCAAATTTATGGAGTGTGTGATTTTTTAAATTTTAAACTATCAATGTAAACTAATATAAAAGGTACTTAAAAAAGAATACTGATTTTTTTTAAGATTCAGTTTCCATGTCAGTTGTTACTGAAAGACCTGAGTTCAAATCTGACCTCAGACACTTACTAGCCATGTGACCCTGCGCAAGTCACTTAACCTCTGTTTGCCTCAGTTACCTCAACTATAAAATGGAGGTAACAGCACCTCCCTCACAGAGTTGTTGAGAAGATCAAATGAGATAATATCTGTAAAGATATTATCACAGAGCACAGAGCATGGTATGTAGTAGATCCTTCATAAATGCTAAGTCCTTTTCCCCAATACACATAGGATTACAGATATACATTTGTCTTTCTTTGATATCTCTCTTAGCTTTACAATATGACTCCAATAAAGAGGTATTCATTTCATTGTTGAGTTGTTTTCATTCATGTTTTACTCTTCATGAACCCATCTGGGGTTTTCTTGGGAAAGATACTGGAGTGGTTTACCATTTCCTTCTCCAGACTATTTTCCAGATGAGGAAACTGAGGTAAACAGGGCTAAGTGACTTGCTCAGGGTCACTCAGCTAGTAAGTGTCTGAACACTTGAACTCACAAAGGTGAGTCTTCCTGAATCCAGGGCTAGCTCTCTATTCGCTGCACCATCTAGCTATCCCAGGCATTCATCTTTTGATAGAATTAATGAAGTTTCTGGAGTTGAACTTATAGTTTATGAATTCAACCCTCTGCTCCTCACTCCTCCACCCCCAGAGATGCTCTCTTCAATTTGTGCTTTTAAATCTATTGAACTTGACTCATGTGTCTTAACTTTCTGTCTTTGGAAAGGTCACTTATGATGTATTAGTTAACAAAAGAATATATATGAAACTACTGAAATGTAATGAATTATACGGTCATGCTAAAGGATTGAGTGTTTCTTTTCATTAATTTTGTTGATCTTGAGATGAGATTTATGCCCAAGAAATTCTTGAAAAGTCTCTATGAAAATTGAAATTATTTAAAGGACTATCAAAACTTTTCTTTTATTTGAAACATTAATTAAAATCTCTTGTCATTTCTTCTTTGGAAACAGGTGCGGGCCTTTTACAAGATGTTCACAATACAACGGTGATTCCTTCATGTATCCCAGGAGAATCAAATGAAAATTGCACTGCTTTGGGTATGGTCATCTTTTTAAAAATATTTCTACATGCATTTATAATATCTCTGTCCCCCTACCCTTCTTTTATGGAACCAAAACAACTCCCCCCACCAAAAAAAAAAACCCTCTAATCATAAGCATGAGTAGTCCTGCAAAGTAAATTCCCACATTGTCCATCTCTGAAAATGTGCAACTCTCTGTATATTTTAAATTCATCATCTCTTCATCAGGGGATGAGTGACATGTTCCATCTTCAGTCTTCTGAATTAATGGTTTATCGTTGCATTGACCCGAAAGACTCTCGTAGTTACTTTTCTTTACAATGTTGATGTAATTGTATAAATTGTTGCCTTAGTTCTACTCACTTAAGTCTGCATCAGTTTATAGAAATCTTCTGAGTTTTCTCTAAAACTCTCTTGTCTTTTGTGGCACAATAATGTTACATTTATGTTCATATGCCATAATTTGTTTAGCCACCCCTCAATAGGAATCCAGCCTCTTAGTTTCCATATTTTAGTTCTTACAAAAAGAGCCACTATAACTATTTGTGTGTGTGTGTGTGTGTGTGTGTGTTCCCTCTTTCTTTGATCTCTTTGGGGTATAGGCCAAGCAGTGTCACTTGGACAAAGGAGAAGCACAGTATAGTACATTTTTGAGCATAGCTCCAAATTGCTTTCCAAAATGGCCGGACCACTTCACTGCTCCACCAAAAGTGTACCTATGTGGGGCAGCTAGGTAGCAAGAGCACTGGGGTTGGAATCAGAAATAAGGAACTCATCTTCATGTGGTCAAATCCAGCCTCAAACACTTACTAGCTGTGTGACCCTGGGCAAGTCACTTCACCTTGTTTGCCTCCGTTTCATCGTCTGTAAAATGAGCTGGAGAAGGAAATGGCAAACCATTCCAGTACTTTTGCCAAGAAAACCCCAAACAAGGTCACAGAGAGTCAGAGATGATTGAAAATGACTGAACAATAAAAACAAAAACAAACATTGTCCCACAGCCATGGCAACAAGTGTTATAAATATGCTCATCTCTAGTAATGTCATTCTTAAGAATTAACCATTTTGAAGAATGACAAAAACTCAAAAAGACTATATTTGTATACATGTATATATGTGGGTATATATATACATATACCCACATGCATATGTATATATACACATATATCCCCACACATACACAGAGAGACAGACAGATAGACAGAGACAGAGGCAGTATGGTGTAGTTACAGGACCTGGATTAAAACCTTGATCATTTTCTACTAAATCTGTGAGCTTGAACAAATAATTTAAACTCTCGGAGTCTCCATTTTCTCACCTGTAAAATAAAGGGATTGGACACCATGGCTTCCGAGCCCCTTCTGGCTCTAAGGTATGATCTATGGCAAATGTTAAATCTGGTCATGCTGTTGCCTCAGTCATGTCTGACTCTTTGTGACCCCATTCAGGGTTTTCTTGACAAAGATACTGGAGTGGTTTGCCATTTCCTTCTCTAGTTCATTTTTACAGATGGGTAAACTGAGGCAAACAGGGTTAAGTGATTTGCCCAGGGTCAAACAGGTAGAAAATGTCTGAGGCCGAATTTCAAATCAGGTACTCCTAATTCCAGGGCTGGAGCTCTATCCAGTCACCATCTAGCTGCCCCAAATCTGGTCATAGGATCACTTTTTTAATTCTAGTATAGGGATTAGATAAGAACTAAAACCTGTGATTTTGGGTATAGGGGACTCCTGAAGGAGGAAACTCCCACCAATAATGCAGGTATCCTTTTCTTTTTAATTTAGAATCCTAGAGAGCTACCTGGGGGTACTGAGAAGTTAAGTGTCCATGGTCCCACAGCCAGAATTTTTCAGAAATGGGAGCAGAATGTGTGAAATGAAAAAGGAAAACCCTGGATTTCCACCAAACAAAATTAATTTTTTTGAGGGGGGATAGATTTTTGGAAAATAGGAAAAAAAAGTGGAAAAGTAAAAATTGGACACTACCTAGGGTTCAGCAAGGGAATTGGACCTTAGAAAGACTTCAAAAGTACTCAAGTCTATAATGTCATATATCGGGAGCTCTACTGCAGAACTCTTTTGAGAAAACCTCTTGGGAGAAGGCAATGATGAAACTGGGTAAGCGGTGATCTGCACATGCTAAGCACTTGGTACAGCTTTGTGTGCGTGCGCGCGTGTGTGTGTGTGTGTGTGTGTGTGTGTGTGAGAGAGAGAGAGACAGACAGACAGACAGACAGACAGACAGACACAGAGAGAGAGAGATTAGCCTTTCTCAACCCTATTTCTGTTTTCAACCTTTACCACCTTTGGGACTCTCGAATTTCATAAAACTTGTCATAACCTGCAGAGCCAGGAAATTGAAGGATTAACAGACCACAAAGCTGATAATGAGGGAAGAGGTGATCCCCACAGACACAGGGGGCACCCCAACTCTCAGCAGCAAGAGCTTGAGTTTGGCAAGTCTGAGAGTCAGGAAGGCAAACTGAGGCAGGGGAAGGAAGTCCAACTTTACAAGGCCAGGGATCAGATCCAAGGAGACAGGCTGAGAATGTCAAACCAGGTTCTAACAAAAAGTAGGTGAGAATACTTGTAATCACATCTCCCTGCCCATCACTTAATATCATAGGATGGTAGGATATGGGAATGGGAGGGACCTAAGAGGCCTTCTAATCTAACGCCTTCATTTTACAGGGGGAAAGCGTCAGAGGGAGGATTTCAATCCACATCCTCTGAATGGAGAGCCAGTGCTTTCCCCACTGTATTTACACTGCTTCAATTTCGGGGCCTCAGTTGCCTCATCTGTAAAATGAGGATAATATTAGCACCTACTTCCCAGGATTATTATCTTCAATTATTATCTCTAATTTATCCCGTTTATATCTTGTTTGCACATAGTTGTTTGTATGTCACCTCCCTCATTAGACTATGTTGTCTTTGTAAAAGGAGGCAGCCGGATGGCTCCGTAGTGCATAGAGAGCTGAGCCTGGATTCAGAAAGACCTGAATTCAAATCCAACTTCAGACACTTACCAGCTGTGTGACCCTGGGCAAGTCAACAAGTTTCCAGTTGACCAAGTTTCTTCAACTGTAAAATGGAGACAATAATAACGCCTATCTCCTGGAGTAGTTACAAGGATCAAATGACGTAATATTTGTAAAGTACTTAACTCAATGCCTGGAACACAGTAGGAACTTCATAAGTCAATCTGTCCCCATCCCTGAGAACACAGACTATTTTTTTGGCCTTTTTTGGCTGCCCAGACCTTAACACAGTCCCTGGCACATAGGTTTATTGTTGTTCAGTTGTTTCTGACTCTTTGTGAGCCCATTTGGGGTTTTCTTGGTAAAGACACTGGAGTGGTTTGCCATTTGCTTCTCCTGTTCATTTACAGATGAGGAAACTGGGGCAAATAGGGTTAAGTGACTTGCCTAGGGTCACACAGCTACTAAGTATCTGAAGTCAGATTTGAACTTGGATGAATCTTGCTGACTCTAGACCTAGCATTCTATCCACTGTGCCACCTAGCTGCCCTTCAGCAGATAGTAAGCATTTAATAAATGCTTTTTGATGATTTGTTGTGAGGATAAAATGAGACATTTGTAAAACTCTTCACAAGTCTTAAAGCTTTATATAAATTCTAGCTGTTTTTATCATCACCGTCATCATAATTATCATTATCTCTGAGGGTCCCTTACAACTTTAGATCTGGGATCCTTTATGAAAAAATACTTTTTTAATTTACAAAGCACTTGCTTCCCAACCCCCCCATAAGTGGTTAGTTTCAATATTTTTATCTCCATTTTACAACTGAGGAAACTGAGTCTCAGAGAAGGGAAATGACTTGTGGACATTCTTATAGGTAATAAATAAATAAAGACCCCACACCACACTCCCTTATAGCTCTAGCAGAGGAAATTGGGACTGGAAATTGGGGCTCCTGAATCTCTGTGGCTCTTGGCTTGGACCTGCCAAAATTCCTTCAGACCTTGGGACCTTTCAATCATCCTCATGTTGCTACCCCGAGTGGATACCTTAAGGACAGTTGGCAGCTGGGCTCCAATGTGTCTTCCCTCGATTTGGGATACTCACACACTCAGAATACCTCACGGTATTTAGATGCCGACGGCCGTGGCAAAGGACAAGTCCCTTCAAGGTGTTCAGGTCAGTGTCAGTTGGGCATACTCCCCTCCCCCTATCTCCTCATAGAGCAGCATCTAAGTACTAGCCCGCAACAACCTAGATGCTACATTGCAGAATCAGGTCCTTCCTGTTCTGCTTCATGCCAGGCTACACCCAGGGCTCAGCACATGGCAGCTGCTCATAGGATCCCTTCATTGGGGATGACAATGGGGAGTGCTGCAGGTGGGACAGCCGCACTGCCCAAAGTCAATGTGTGCAGGTTGTGGGGAAGGAGGGAGAAAGGAAAGGAGGAAGGTCTGCTCCTGCATTCTTTTTTAAAATTAACTTTTGCTCCCAATTAATAAGCATTGATTTTCTCTTCCTCCTGCTGAAGAAAAAGAAAAAAAAAAGTCCTAGTAACACAACAAATTCCCAGGTTGGCCATGCCCCAAAATATTTCCCATTCTGCATCCTGAGTCCATGCCTCCTGTATCAGGATGTGGGCAGCATCTTCTTCCTCTCTGTTTTTTTTTTAATTAGGCTCTTGGGATTAAGTGACTTGCCCAGGGTCACACAGCTAGTAAGTGTCAAGTGTTTGGTCTAAGGCCGAATTTGAACTCAGGTCCTCCTGACTTCACGGCTGGTGCTCTATCCACTGCGCCACCTACCTGCCCCTTCTTCTTCCTCTCTAGAAAAAGATCCCCACATGCCTTGGGGGAGGGGGCACTTGGAAGAGTCCAGATGTTACCAATCATACAATAACTCACTTTTGTCAGGCTTTGTTCTTCTTCAAAGGGTCTTCATGCACATTATGGAGGGAGAGTAATGTAGTGTTATTAGGAAGCTGGCCTCTTAGTCAGGAAGGCCTGGCTTCAAGTCTCATATCTAACATATACCAGCTGTGTTATCTTGGGTAAGTCCTCTTGGTGTACCAGGCAAATCTCTAAGACTCTAAGTTGCAGAAAAGGTGTTGTCTGGCACTGGTAGAGGGAATTTTCCCCTGGGAATTCTTTACACTGATGAAATCACAAGCCCAATTAAAAAGGGGGAAGGTGATGACTTTTCTCCCTATTATACTATTTGACCATCACAAGGACCCCATGAAGGGTGGATGTCCAGAGGGCAATTGAACATTGATATGGCAATTTGGAATAAGCTTTTCTGATTGATTTAGAGGGTTAGGGTGAATTATAGTACCCCAAGTCAGTCAAGCATTTATTAAGCCCTTACTGCATGCTAGGCACTGTGCTGGGGTCACAAAGAAAGACAAAAAAAGGGAGGAGGGAAATTATAAAGACAAATAGAGGTAGGTTAGGCTTGACAACAGCTCTGGATCATATTAATATTAATAATAATGGCAATAATAATGATAGCTAGCATTTATATATAACTTTAAGGTTTTCAGAATTCTTTACAATTATCAAATGAGATCCTCACAACAACCTTAGAAGACAGATGCTATTATTTTTTCCACTTTACAGATGAGGAAACTGAGGCAAACAGACATTGAGTTACCCCACCCAGGATCACACAGATAGAAAGTGTGTGAAGGGGAAAGATGAAGGGAATAAGCATTTTTTATATGCCTACAGTATGCTAGGCACTGTGCTAAGTGCATTATAGGTATTACTATCTCATTTGATTCTTACAACAACTCTGGGAGGCCAGTGCTATTATGTTGTCTGTTTTACAGTTGAGGAAACAGGCAGATAGAAATTAAGTGACTTGTCAAGGGTAACATAGGGAGTGAGGGTCTGAGGCTAGATTTTATTTGGGTTTTCTTGAGTCCAGGCTCAGTGCTCTGTGCACTGTGTTTGCCCCTGTTTGAGGTAGGATCTCAACATGATATATGAGAAGGATAAGTTAAAAGGACTGAGGGATGTTCAACCGGGTGACCTGGGAGAAATACGGTTGTTGCATTCAAGCCAAGAAACCCTGGCATTAAATCCCGCCTCGGACACTTACTACCTATGTGACCCTAAGCTTAACCTCAGTTTGCCGCCATTTCCTCACCTGTAAAATGGTCATAAAAGTAGTGCCTGCCTCCCGGGGCTGTTATGAGGATAAATCAAATAAATTTTGTTAAGTGCTTTGCAAACCTTAAAGTGCCATGTAAATGCTATCATCATTATTATTGTTGCTGTTGTTGTTGTTGTTAAACTAAGAGTAATAGGTGGAAGTTTTATAAAGTGCTACATAAATACTATTATTATTGTTAAACAAAGAGTAGTATGTAGGAGTTTTATAAAATGCTATGTAAATGATATTTGTTATTATTATTAAATTAAGAGTGATAGGTAGAAGTTATATAAAGCATATAAATTCCATCATCATCACCATCATCCTCAAACTAAGAGTAATAGGTGAAAGTTATATAAAGCATCATATAAATTCCACTATTATTAAGCTAAGAGTAATGGGTCGACATTGCCCAGAAGCAGATTCAGCTTAACTCAGGTTGCTGATGAGTTGTTTGACTCAATCCAATTCTTGATGACCTCATTTGGGGTTTTCTTGGCAAAGATACTGGAGAAGTTTGTCATTTCCTTCTCCAGCTCATTTTACAAAAGAGGAAACTGAGGCAAACAGGGTTAAATGACTTGCCCAGGGTTACACAGCCAGTAAGTGTCTGAGGTCAGATTTGAATTCATGAAAATGAGTCTTCCTGATTCCAGTGGCTATCCACTACGCCATCTAACTGCCCTACTTAACATCAGGTAAAGCTTCCTAAAAATGAGATAAGGCAGTGAAGACTGGGCTACATTGTTAGGTTTCCTGTTATTACCCATCAATGCTGTTCTTTGGGCAGTGGCTGAAGGAGCACTCAGTAGGGAGGAGTGTACCTATGGGGGTTCTTGCTCAAGGGTTGGAGTGGAGTCCCCTGTACAGGACCTTAATTGTCTAATATAAGAGTATGCTCTGCTATCCCATGGCATGCTTGGCCTAGCAGATATATATCATCTATTTTTGTATATTTTGTATATTTTTCTTGTCCCTCCTTTGGGATTCCATGTCTAAGCACCTCCATTTCCTCACTTCTGAAGTCCCTACAATTCAGAGATTCTATGCTTCTATTTAAAAAAAAATTCCAAGAGGCCTGGCATCTTGGGAAACTGCCTCACCTGCTTGCAATGGTAGCTGGATGATATATATCATTTTAAGTAAAGTTGACACTCAGTTTTTAAAGACTGAAGCAAAATAATCCATCTGTTTTCCATTCTTTCCACAGTTCAAATAGAAAATAATCCTCGGGTTGCTCAAGTGGCAATTACACAATGCGGAGAGGACATGCAAGGCCTCTGTTTACATGGGCAATGCATCTACGTGGTGGATATGAGTCAACACTTCTGTAGGTAAGTGGCCATCATCACCTCTTGTTGGATAATTTCTTTTTAATTGTTTTACCAACTTCCGGACTCTCCCCTTCCCAAATCATCCTTTGCAGCTCTGCCAAAGTAATCATTGTAAGGCTTCCTAAATCTGACCATGCTCCTCCCCTGCTCCACGTTCTCCAGGGGCTCACAGTGCTTGGCACATGAAAGGCACTTAATATATGCTTATTGGGTTGAATTGAACTAATGTGTATTTTGTGTATGCCTTGTATAAATTTAAGAAATTTTCAGTCAATATAAAAAAGGAAAATGGGCACACATGTTTTCTAGAGTTGTTGTTGAGACATTTCAGTCACCCCATTTGGGGTTTTCTGATACTGGAGCAGTTGGCCATTTCCTTCTCTAGCTCATTTGACAGATAAAGAAACTGAGACAGATAAGGTTAAATGACTTACCTAGGGTCACACAGATGGTGTGTGTCTGAGGCTGGATTTGAACTCAGGTTATCCTGACTCCAAGGCTGGTACTTTATCTACTACAGCACCACCTAGCTGCCCTATTGTAGAGTATTCAGTTAATTACGCTGTTGGATGAGGCCACTTATCTCCATAAAATCACAATTTACTTCAGATATCGCAATGGCAACTGAGAAGCTTAAAAAAAAACCACAATATTTGTTCCTTTATAAATGGCCAGCATTCATACAGTGCTTTAAGATTTGCAAAGCATTTTACAAACATCATCTCATTTGAGCCTCACAACAATCTTGTGAGGTAGAGGCTGTTATCTCCATTTTACAGATGAGAAAATTGAGGCAGATAACAGTGAAGTGACTTGCCTGACCAGGGTCACACAGCTTAGTAAGTGACTGAAGCCAGATTTGAACTCGGGTTTTCCTGAATCATGATCCAGCAAGCTAACCACTATACCACTTAGCTGCCCCTAAGACAATTGTATAAAATATAACACTTAGCTTTTGACATCCAGTGATGACTTCTTTTATAACCATTCGCATGCATGAGAAATGACTCTCTTTCATTGTTTAATTGTTTTGTGTTCTTTTAATTTAAAAAATTAAGGTACTATTCTCTGCTGAGTACTAGAAATACAAAAAGAAAAAGATAGATAGATAGATAGATAGATAAATGATAGATAGATAGATGGATAGATAGATAGATAGATAAATAGATAAAAAATAAATAAATCCCTGCCTTCAGGGAGCTTATATTCTACTGGGGAGTAGGGAACAGCATGTCCACAAGGTCACAAGATCATGGTTTCTGCTGTGCAAAGCCTCTATATTTCCTTTCCCTCCAAGGTTACTCTTGTATTAAATAACTATGTCCATCTTTTCTACTTTTACCTAGGTGTGAAGTGGGCTACACGGGCAGCCGATGCGAGCATTTTTTGCTAACTGTTCAAAAACCCTTGAGCAAAGAATACGTGGTACTGACTGTCATCCTTGTTCTTCTGTTCCTGATTGTCATGGCTGGCTCTATATATTATTTCCTCAGGTGGTAAGACACAATTTCTTTACCCTCTTCTTTTTTTTCTTTTTTCTTTTTCTTTTTCTTTCTTTGATGAGGAGGGAAAACCATATTGGTAGTATTTATGAAAGTGTTGGTGGCTGACCTGAAAGCATAAGGGTAGCCAGAGGATAATAGGGAAAATGCCTTGAATTTGGGGTGTGAGTCTACAGTCATGGAAACTGGGTTTGGATCCAAACTCTGCTATTCACTACCTATATATCCTTGGACAAATCATTTAATCTATCTGGCCTCAGTTTTCTCATCTGTAAAATGAAGAGACTGGACTAGACAGGTTCCAAGGTCCCTTCCAACTCTATATCTAAAATCCCATAGGTTAACAGTGATTTGTCATTAAAAAAAAACCATACCATATGTCCTATAAGTTTCAGATTCTTGAAATAAGGTTTGATGGGCATGTCTCTTTGACATTCAATAGTATAGTTCCGCTTTTGATCATATAAAGTCAACAACAACAACAAGAAACATTATTATGTACCCGTGGTTGATGATAATCACCAAACAGTGAAGTCCTACGTATTTACCTTGCATTGAAAATAACTTGAATTTGGTAAAGACCATCTGTAGAAAGTCTGCCATAGATGTCTGGTAGCACTGATTATATAAGATGGGGGTCCATGCAGCTTTTGAGTTCACATAACTATTTCTCTTGTTAAACATGGCAGGCTTACTTTACTCTTGCCTGTGCTGACTGAAGTACTAATGTTTGTTTTTTCATCTTCACATGTTCCCAGGTATAAAAACAGAAAAAGCAAAGAATCAAAGAAGGAATATGAAAGGGTGACTTCGAATGATGAAAGGAACTCAACATTGCTACAAGTCTGAAAGAAGTAAATGGCACATGCCCTACTACCTGTCTGGTGACAACCTCTTAGTGTTAATAGTTTTGTTTTATTAATAATATTTATGTTCAAAACAAAAAAAGGTCAAACCATATATTTTTTTCTTTTAAAAGAAGTCCATGGAAAAGATATTATTTTTATTTTTTATTTTATTATTTTTGTATGATGAAATGTTTGCTAATGTATAAAGTGCACATAGTATTTTATACATAAAATCAATTTTTGTAAGAAATTCAAACTCCTGGGCTAATTGCTTTATTGAAAGCAACAAAACTTGTAAGCTTGTACAGGAATTTAATCGAAGCCAGCTCTTGTAATGCATCCAGGATACTCAAGCAAATGTTGACAAATAACAGCATACATTTCTTAGATAATAATTTGTTGGAAAACATCATGAAAATTGACATCAAAGGAATGACACTGGAAGGTGAAGATACAATTTGCCTTGGAGTCCTGTGACAAACAAAACATTCAAAAATGAAAAAATATGGACAATGGCAATGGTCTGGGCAAAAACTTGTTTTTTCTCCACTCTCCAGCAAGAACTGAATGGTTATTTACCACAAGTGGCTGTGTACAGTATTCCATTTTAGGGCTTAATAACTGTAGAAATTCAAAATCAGTCCAAAATGATTTCCCATCAGCAGTGAACTAGAGTTACCATGGGATATTAAGTCAATAAATGTGTGTACATACCTCTGGTTTTCTTGTCTACCAAGTGAATGCTACCCGATTGCTTTCTGCAGCATGATGAAATTCTTCAAAGCTTGATACTCCAAGATGCTAATGGAACTGGGATGTCATTGGCTTGCAAATGTCCTCCAGAGATGCAAACCTTACCCCATACTGTGTGACTCTTGTCCTTTCTCCCCTAAGTCTGCCATAAGGGCTCCACCCAATGTGCTAGAGGCCAGATGAGTATTATAAATTAGTCCTTAATGATACATAACATTTTCCCTACTTAAAAACTTGATGGCTACATGGGTAACAACCATTGGCCAGATAAGGCAAACATAGCCAAGCTATCCCTTTTTCCCAGTGGTTTATCTGCCCGATCGACATTGTTTGAAGCGATTTCACAGTCTTAGAGTTTGTAAGTCATAAGTTCTTATGACACATTCCTATGAAGGCTGTTAGTCACAAAAGGCCACATGTGAGGTAATAGACAACAATCTTCTTTTGTATCTAAACTAATAATCTATAGGACTCTCAAGTCAGTTCCTAGGAACAGCTTTTAGCAACTTGATCCTTTTAACAAGCCTTGAAATGTCAAAAATTATTAAAATTGAAGGTAGGGCTATTTGGGATCTTGTGTCCAGTGAATTCCCTTCTTTTCCCTTTAGATTTTTCTTTGTCTTCTGTTCTGAGGTATGGGACCATAGCCAGGACCACAGTCATTGTGGGACAACAGTCATTGGCTCCAGGAGCTTCAGAATTTTTATCCTTTGGTGGCTATAAATTGTACCATGGTAAAAAAAACAGACAGTTGTCCTTTGGACATAGTGCCTATTTCTTGTGGACTTATGCATCATGACTTGGGTTTTGAATAAGTTTCTGTTTTTTAAAAATCTTAGAAATTTACCCAAAAGATAAATTCAATAAAGGTAGAGTAGTAAGACATTCCAAGTGTCGTAACTGGATCTGGTTGCACAAATTCAATCAAATTGTCCTCCAAATTCTTTAAACACTTAATTCATTGAACAGATTTGAGCATCACCTATGCAAACAATAAGCATAATTTTTTCTGTCAAGGTCATCATGCTTTCACCTATATTTATGCCTTGGCTATTTCTAATCCATTGTCTTACTGAAATAATTGTTCAATAGCAATCCATTCATTTCATTTATAGACATGACCTATATTGAATTCACTATCCAGAATGAAGTGAAAAATCAACACTGATTGATTTTTGTTTTGGTTCTAACACCTCCCAGTCCTTCCCTACCCCACCTCCACCCCAGCTTTAAAATCCATCCCAACGACTAACCTCCATAAGGAGTTGGAGCTTTCCTTGAGAAAGCACATGAAAGAAATATGAACTGGAACTGGTATTAGGACAGAAAGTAAATCAACATAGCTAAGGCTTTTATTTTCAAATAAAAGTCACTTGTCACTCAGTAGCCACACTGGGCAATGCTGTTTCCATGTTTCCCATATGGTTTCAAAGTATCCCACATTTAAAATGTCCATAAAATACCTTCTTTGTGCCTTCAATAGTTATGCAGTTCACTATGGATGCCTTTCCTCACCTTTGCTTCCTGTAATTATTTTGTTTTAAAAAGCTGAGAGTCAGAGATAAAACTTTAAAAGGGCCTATGTCTGTCAAAGACATGAGTATATGAATGGTGACAAGTTTAAAAAGCTCGATACTAAACCCATAATTTCCCAGAAAGTTGTAACAATCTACTGTTCACTCCAACATTAAGGTGGAAAAATAAACAATCCTAAAATAACCAACACACCAAGGTCTGGAATTGCATTAAAAGGTCTTGCTGAAAACATATAACATTTAATTCTAATTGCTAATTTAATAAAATCTCTTCCTATTTGCTTAAGTAGTTTCATTCTTTGGATGCAAGATGATGTTAAAGAGTGGCCTAAAGTCTCATGTCATCTCCCAGCATGACACACTCACAGTGACCTTTTATGGTCTTAAGGATGATAGTTAACTGAATTTCAGCTATTTGTTGCATGAAACTAAATCATACTTTCTACAGTGGCTACAGTGCCAATATCTATTTTCTCTTTAGTTCAAAGAATGTTATTCACTTTGGGAGGGGTATCTAAATTTGACCCACTTTTTCATTATTATTTAAAGTCCATTTTGCTAATTAGTTTTATAGTACCAAAACCTCATTCTAAACATTTACTGCTTTTTCCCAATTTCAATGATATTAGGGGAGAGGACAAGTCTTGGGCCAACCATGTCTTTACAGAATGTCTTAATGTTTTCACCCAAAAAAAAATCCATGAGTAGTATCTGACTTTCAAATGTTACATATTGTATATAAGATTCTATATATTTTTTTCACCTTGCTTGCAAACACTGTAATTGTTCTATAAAACATTCTAGGATACAGTTTATATTTAAAATCTTATTAAACATAAAATTGTATTGTATGCAATTTGTTGCTTATGATTGTCTGAACAGTAAGAGCCTACTGAATTGTATCAATTTGTTGTAATGAACAGTATCAGCTTTGATAGTAATGTACCTTAAAGTATTGAAGGAGAATGTCAGGACTACATACTATTGCACATTTTAAACATATCTATTGGGAGAAAAACAATTAAACATATTACATAAAACCAATATTGATTTATGGTCTCTGTTCTAAATATCATTTTGTCCTTTGTTTTTATTAGTTTGTTGTTTGGAACATTGAATGCATTTTTTGCATTGATATTGATAGGTCCCCAAGTATTGGAATATTGAAATATTGAGATAGGTCCTCAGGTATTGAGAACCCTAGGAAAAGATAGATACCAGGAAGATGGGATATTACAGGAGTCTACAACTGTAAACTACCACCTGGGTGACAAAAGAGTAACCAGATGTTCCTTCGACAGTGGGTTGTTGGGTGGGGCAATTTAAGATTTTAAGATTTAAGACTCACCCAAGTGAGTCTAGAATGACACATTACACATTTATAGTGTGGTGGGGGGGAAGAAATGGATGAGAAAGAGAGAAAAGAGCTCAAAGGAACATTTGAGTATTGTAGAGTGGGAGTAAAATCTTGAGGAATGAGTGTAAGGGAAGATGGGTTAACTAGTATTGTATATTAAGAAGACATCCCCAGGTGAGGAAATCCATGATTTTTCTAGGGGAAAAGTTGGATGGAGAAAATAGGAAGAAAAATCAATGTGATCAGCAATAGAAGCAATATCATGGGAGGATAGAACATTAAGACACAAAGTAGAAATGGTTCAGGAAAGAAATCCCAAGCCTATGATGGAGGTATGAGATGGTAGTGATGGTGGATTTCAATTATATATATATATATAATATACATATGTGTGTGTGTGTATGCATGTGTATATTACAATGAACAATTCCATATATATTTCAAATATATGATCTATACATACTTCAAATATATGATATATACATATATATATATATATATATATATATATCTCAAATATATGTGTCTGCCATATATATTACTTCTCTCTGAAGAGGCCAAAAGCAGGACAGCTAATAAAAATTTGACTCGCCTTGATAGTTTCCCACTTCAAAAGTACAGGAATCAATAAGGGGAACATCTATTCTGGATCCTATTCTCACCAGCAAGAAAGAAGTAGTTGTTGAATCAGAAAGGAGGGGAATCTCTTGGGGAAGGAACCATTTCATCTTAGAATTTGCAATAAAGGAAAGCTGAGCATAGTCTGACATGCACTCTAGTTTGGGACAGAGTAGATTTCAGAAGTTTCATAGAAAAGACAGACAAAATTCTATGTACAATGCCAATGAGGAGGAAAAGAAGGTGTCAGATTGAATGATGTTTATATCCATGGAAGTCAAAAATCAAACTGGATTATTTGTAAAGAAGAGTGAAGCCAAGGCAGGTAACAGAGAATAGATACAAAAGAGTGATAAGGTCGGTCAGAATTGATAACTCTCAAAATGAGCCAAAGCTGACCAGGAAAAGTGTGTGTGTCTGTGCGTGTGTGTGTGTGTGTGTGTGGGTGTGTGGGTGTGTGAGTGTGTGTAGTTAAATTAGAGGAGGGAAAGAGTGAAAAACACAAAGTGATATGGTGGGTTAGATGAATTTGGACTGACATTCATTCAGACAGAATTAAAATAGTTCAGCCTTGGAGTGGATTTCCAAAGCTGAGTTAATTAACTCCCTCAGGAAACAGAGCAGTCTCTCCAGAGATCAGGTCCTTAAGTTTCAATTCCAAATCATATGAAGGGAGACATTAGCAGTGTAGTTGGCAAGATGTTTCTGTTTCCTGAGCTTAGAGTACACACACACACACACACACAATCTTTTTTCTTTTTTAAATAAAATACTAACTAGCCACACCTCCACCATCTTGAATTTTTGTAGGTCATTTTCTGAACTCAAGAGCAGGGCTTTACATTGTCTCTATTGCATTTCATCTGATTATAATTAGCTGGTTACTCTTGGGTTTCAAGATCTTAGCTTCTGAATCTGCCACCTCATGAGTTAGCTTTGTGCCATCAGCAAATATGATGTGCGTGTTCCCCAAGTTATGTTAAAGGGCATAGACTATGCACAGATCTCTGGAGGCATTCCCCTGGAAATATCCTGCCAAGTTGATATTGAACCATTAACTCCTATTCTTAGAGTTCGACCATCCTTCCATTTCTGAATGCACCTGCTTGCATTATTGTCTAGTCCACCTCTTGCCATCTTTTCCACAAGAATAATATGATATATTTTATCAAAGCCTTTGCTAAAATCTTGGTAAACCAAATCTATGGCATTCTTCTCTTCTCTTAGTAACCTTGTTAAGAAAGGAAACTGGATTAACTGGGCAAATTTTGGTGAAACCTAACTCTGGTTCTTTTTAATCATTGCTTCCTTTTCTAAATATATACTAACCATCTCTTTAATCATCCTTTCTAGAATTTCCCCAGGAAATGAAGTTAACTTACTGAATGAATTGAATCAATCAATCAATAAGTATTCATTAAACACTTATGTGCCAGGGACTCTGTAAACACTGGTGTTAAAAATATAAGCGAATAAAACAGCCCTTGACCTCAAGGAGCTTACATTCTAATAATGAAAGACAACATATATAAGGGAATGATGGCCAGGGAAGGGTATTTTTGAGCAGGGAAGTCAGAAAGAAGAAAATTGACATATGTTTTTCAGGAATGATAGTGTTGACTTCATTTCTGCTCTCAGAACATTAAAACATATTGGCCTAAGCCAATATTTTTCAAGTGGGCTGCAAGATCACTCCAGGATCCTGATATGAGAGGGTAGGGGTATTCAAAAAGAATCATAAGGATTGAGGCCATCAAGTTGCAAATTATTGTTTGTAGGGTGACACCATAAGCAAATTACGGTAGCATGAACAGTTTACCTGTCAGATTTATGGATAAAGAAAGAATTTATGACTAAACACAAGATAGAGAGCATTACAAGATATAAAATGGTTAACTTTTATTATATTAAATTTAAAAGTTTTAGAACAAACAAAATCAATGCAGCCAAGATTAGAAGGAAAGCAGAAAGCTGGGATTGGGGGAAAGGGCTTGTGGAATTTACATTAAGTGTCTCTGATAAAGGTTTCATTTCTCAAATATGTAGAGAAATGAGTCAAATTTATAATAATACAACTCATTCACCAATTGATAAATGGTCAGAGGATATGAACAAGCAGTTTTCAGATGAAGTAATCAAAGCTATATACAGTTATATGAAAAAATGCTCTAAGTCACTATCAATTAGATAAATGCAAATTAAAACAACTCTGAGGTACTACTTCACACCTATCAGATTGGCTAATAAGGTAGAAAAGGAAAATGGCAAATGTTGGAAGAGATGTGCAAAAACTGGGGTGCTGATACACTGGTAGTGGAATTGTGAACTAGTGCAACCATTCTGGAGAGCAATTTGGAACTATAGCCAAAGGGCCATAAAACCTTTCCAGGAGTGGAGAACCTGTGACCTCAAGGCCATATGTGACCTTCTAGGTCCTCAAGGGTGGCCCTTTAGCTGAATCCAAACTTCACAGAATAAATCCTTTTATTAGGGCAATTTGTTCTGTGAAGTTTAGGTTCAGTAAAAGAGTTGCACTTGAGGACCTAGAAAGCCATGTGGTTCCCCACCCTTTCCTTTGACCCATACGCCTTGACCCAACAACAACACTATTATGTCTGTATCCCAAAGAGATTTAAAAAAAGAAAAAGGACCTATGTGTACAAAAATATTTGTAGCAGCTCTTTTTTTGTGGTGGACAGAATTGGAAATTGAGAGGATGCCCATCAATTGGGGAATGGCTGAACAAATTGTGGTATATGGTGGTGATGGAATACAATGGTGCTGTAAGAAATGATGAGCAAAATGCTTTCAGAAAAACCTGGAAAGATTTACACAAACTGACACAAAGTGAAGTGAATAGAACCAGGAGAATATCATACATAATAACAGCAATATTGTACAGTGATGAACTGGGAATGACTTAGCTTTTCTTAGCAATACAATGACCCAAGATAGTTCTGAAGGACCTCCAGAGAAAGCATTAATGGAATCTGAATGCAGAGGAAACATACTGTTATTGTACTTTCTTCATTTTTCTTGGTTTTTTTTTTTTGGTCTGTGTTTCCTTTCACAACATGACTAACATGGAAATATGTTTGCATGATTGCATATGTATAATCTTTATCAAATTGCTTGCCTTCTCAGTGATGGGGGAAGGGAAGTAGAATGAAAGAGAATTTGGGACTCAAAATTGTAAAAAAAAAAAAAAAAGTTAAAATTGTTTTTACATGTAATTGGAAAAAATAAAATATTAAGATTTTTTTAAAAAAAATTCTTGTTTGTAGTTGGAGCCCACTATGTATGAGTGGAATGTTCTGGCCTTCTTTATCTCCACAGACCATGAGTCCCTCTCCACTGCAGTGCCAGACAGAAGCTGCAGCACCCAAGCCAGTCACTTGGTTGTGTAATGATATCTGTGAGACAACTTGCAGAATTGTGTGCATTTGTTCGGGGGAAATGAGGGAAGAGAATACGGAACACCAAGAGAAGAAACCAAAATCAATGGGGAAGAAAAGATTTTGGGGGAAATGAGTTTGAGTTTGAGACTGACTCCATTAAAACAAATACTACTAGCTAAACTTCCATAAGAAAATACTTTGCTTCCAAAACAAGCGAACAAAAATCATTCATGCTGACATTACAATGAAAATCTGAAGCAAGGATAAATGCTTGGCAAACTCAAATATGATACTAAGCTTATACTTCCTGTTGGTTTAATAAAGAAAAACCCATTTC